TTGAGATGATTTCGGGGGCTTTTAGTGTCCCCGCGGCCCAGTCCTCGACTAGGCCTCCACCCCCCAGGAAGCAGCCAGTGACAGCTGACTAACTCCCAGGTACCTAATTTACTGCTAGGTAACAGGGGCATAGGGTGAAAGAAACTCTGCCCATTGTTTCTTGCCGGTGCCTGGGATCGAACCCAGGACCACAGGATCACAAGTCCAGCGTGCTGTCCGCTCGGCTGACCGACTCCCTTTGGATAGGGACATATAAAATACTCAGGGGAATTGACAAAGTGGAAATAGATGAAATGTTCACACGTAATAATAACAGAACGAGGGGACATGGGTGAAAACTGGAAACTCAGATGAGTCACAGAGATGTTAGGAAGTTTTCTTTTAGCGTGAGAGTAGTGGAAAAATGGAATGCACTTGGGGAACAGGTTGTGGAAGCAAAATCTATTCATAATTTTAAAATTAGGTATGATAGGGAAATGGGACCGGTGTTATTGCTGTAAACAACCGATTGCTGGAAAGGGGGGATCCAAGAGTCAATGCTCGATCCTGCAAGCACAAATAGGTGAGGTGAGTACACACACACACACACACCAGGCTCGTTACAGCAGCGGGACTCCTGGTTCAACCTTGACGCCGAGCGGACGTCTGGACGCCTCCTCCGACTGGGAGCCGCTCGTTCCCGTTTGGTTTTGCGATTTTGGATATTTGATACTGCCGTTTGGCATTCCTCCAAGCAACGGTCCGGTTTGTACGAAGCCTGGCGCACATATCGCCTTGGGTCACGGGATTGTTGATAGATTTTTTTTTTTTGACGTGATCTGGCTGGTTTTCCCGGCAGGGTGACGATGTTCAGGAGCCGGCTTGGCCGAGAGGTGCCGGGGGTTGGTGGGTCTTGGTGGGCTCCTGGTGTGCCCTCAGTCGTGGTGGGCGGCTGGCTTCTGCTCTGCCGGAGGACACTGGATGACTTTTGCGTTTTAGTTGGGGGCCGAGTTTTTGGTTTTGCTACCCAGTGTTCTCTGTGTGGGGCGGGGCCGGTGCTTGTCACCCTGAGGGACTCCTGGGGCTCCCCAATCATCTGCCTGTCTGCGTTTCTTTGCCGCGAGGCATATTAGTTTCCAGTGATTGGCGTCACTCGTTTCGCGATTTGGCTTGGCGTTTCACCTTTCCGGGCTTCGCGATTAACCCTTCACGGGTACGCCGGGGCGCATCCGATCCCACGATCGTCGTCGCCCCTAAATCAACAACAACCAAAAGGATGAATTTGCACAAGGGCCGGGCTGTAATTTGCATATCAACACTAGCGCTGTGTGTCTGTTGCTAGTGTTATGTTTTAACAGGTTTAGTAACAGTAAGTACGCTGTGCATTTACAGAAAACCTTTCGATTTAAGCTTAATCGTGCGCTAATGTATTATGGTGTTGACAGTGAAATAGCAGGAAGGTTGTGCACACCTGATGAAAATACTGACGAGATGCAATGGTACGCAGGTTCGATCCCACGCTTCGATCATAACCAGGTTCATCCCAGGTTCATCAATCACTCATAATCATCCAAAGGTTCGATCATAACCTTAATATTTTCTTCCATTACGGTATTATTTTATGTCTTACAAGGGCGCCTCATTCAACAACACAAGTTATTAAATGGAAGTTGAAATATGCCTTTAAGAAAGACACCATGATGGGGAAATTAGCTCTTCTGTTTCCCTCGTTAAGACGCAATTATCAACAAGTTGTATAACCGCTCGCTCTTGAAACATCATAAAGAAGCCAGTTGGGTTCCTAAGACCTAAACACTGCCCAATCTATTCCGCCGGTGTAAAGGTTGTACCTGTAGCTGTATTAGCTAGCAGAGCGCCAGTTTAATCGAACAGCTTATTTGCTGGGTCAATATTGACACTGCTGTTAGAGGCTGAGGTAATCACTTTAGAGTCTTTTGAAGACGGCGGGTAGCTGTCCCCCCCACCCCACCCCCACCCCAACACCTCCCCCAAACATGCGAACCCCGTCTCCTTGTCAAGGCAGAGAGGTAGGGGGGGGGGGGGAGCAGGGAAGGTGGGCAGAGGAATGATGGTGGGGACAAGGAAGGAAGTCGGGGGGGGGGGGTCTAAGAGGCGGGTCCCAAGAGCTGAAGCTCACTACCCTCGCATACAGCCATCCATGTGATGATGCAAACAACCTCTCAAGGTCGATAAATGTATCTATCAGAACGAGATGTGGTTAATGTGGCAGTCTATCCTCCCCAGCTCCACCCCCCCCCCAGGGTGTACTTACCTAGTTGTGCTTGCGGGGGTTGAGCTCTGGCTCTTTGGTCCCGCCTCTCAACTGTCAGTCAACTGGTGTACAGATGCCTGAGCCTACTGGGCTCTATCATATCTACATTTGAAACTGAGAATGGAGTCAGCCTCCACCACATCACTGCCTAGTGCATTCCACCTGTTAACTACTCTGACACTGAAAAAGCTCTTCTAACGTCCCTGTGGCTCATGTGGGTACTCAGCTTCCACCTGTGTCCCCTTGTTCGTCTTCAACCTTTGCTCAATAGTTTGTCTGTGTCAACCCTGTCAATTCCTCCGAGAATTTTGTAGGTGGTGATCATGTCTCCCGCTAGTCTCTGATTTCCAGGGACGTGTGGTTTAGCTCCCGTAGCCTTTCCTCGTAGCTATCTTTCCTTTCCATAACCTCTCAGTTCTGGGACTACTCTGGTGGCATACCTCTGAATCTTTTCTAAATTTGTCTTATGTTTAACTAGGTATGGACTCTAGGCTGGAGCTGCATACTCCAGGATTGGTCTGACATAAGTGGTATACAGGGTTCTGAACGATTCCTTACACAAGTTTCTAAAGGCAGTTCTTATGTTGGCCAGTCTAGCATATGCCGCTGATGATATCCTTTTGATGTTGGCCTCTGGGGACAGGTTCAGTGTGATATCAACCCTCAGACCTTTCTCTCTCTATTTGACTCTTGCAGGATATCACCTCCAAGATTGTTCCTTGTGTTTAGCCTCCTGAAGATACCTCCTCCAAGATATCTTTCCCCAGCTTTCCCAGCTTTCGACCGGGGAGCCGGTCGGCCGAGCGGACAGCACGCTGGACTTGTGATCCAGTGGTCCTGGGTTCGATCCCAGGCGCCGGCGAGAAACAATGGGCAGAGTTTCTTTCACCCTATGCCCCTGTTACCTAGCAGTAAAATAGGTACCTGGGTGTTAGTCAGCTGTCACGGGCTGCTTCCTGGGGGTGGAGGCCTGCTCGAGGACCGGGCCGCGGGGACACTAAAGCCCCGAAATCATCTCAAGATAACCTCAAGATAGCTTCACCCCTGGAGTGTGGGGTTACCCTACCTCTCTCTCTCTCTCTCTCTCTCTCTCTCTCTCTCTCTCTCTCTCTCTCTCTCTCTCTCTCTCTCTCTCCCCCCCCCTCCCTCCTTCCCTACCTCCCTCACTCCAAATCCCTCCTCCCTGCCTCCTGGCCATCCATCTAACCTCTCCCTCTCGGGTCAGTTTTACTACCCACTTGGTGTGGGGAACACGGCGCCGCCCTTCACTGTTACAGGTACTCAGGCGAAGAGGGCCAACCTTGGGGGGGGGGGTGTGCAAGCTTACACAGAATTATCTCACTCTCCAATCCCCTTACGACCATTTTGCCACCACCATCAACCCCCCCCCCTTCCATCTCTCTCCCTCCCCATCTCAGATATATATATATATATATATATATATATATATATATATATATATATATATATATATATATATATATATATATATATATATATATGTGTGTATATCACGAAAATAAACACGTGATTAAGAATGTGACAATGTCAGACCACGGAGGAAAAATGAAACAGGAAATTTCCTTAAGTACTTTCGTATCAAGTACTTCGATACGAAAGTACTTAAGGAAATTTCCTGTTTCATTTTCCTCCGTGATATATATATATATATATATATATATATATATATATATATATATATATATATATATATATATATATATATATATATATATATATTGTCGTACCTAATAGCCAGAACGCACTTCTCAGCCTACTATTCAAGGCCCGATTTGCCTAATAAGCCAAGTTTTCATGAATTAATGTTTTTTCGTCTACCTAACCTACCTAACCTAACCTAACCTAGCTTTTTTTGGCTACCTAACCTAACCTTACCTATAAATATAGGTTAGGTTAGGTTAGGTAGGGTTGGTTAGGTTCGGTCATATATCTACGTTAATTTTAACTCCAATAAAAAAAATTACCTCATACATAGAGAAAAGGGTTGCTTTATCATTTCATAAGAAAAAAATTATAGTAAATATATTAATTCAGGAAAACTTGGCTTATTAGGCAAATCGGGCCTTGAATAGTAGGCTGAGAAGTGAGTTCTGGCTACTAGGTACGACATATATATATATATATATATATATATATATATATATATATATATTAGATAGATAGGTATATAGATAGAAACATAGATAGAATAGGCCAAGTTACCTACAAGCCATATTTTCGTGTAATATTATATTTTCACAATTTTTTTTCTATAGAATAATTAAGCTTTCCATTACATTATATATGAATTGAATTAAAACTAACATAAATTTGATCAAACCTAACATAACCTTACCTATTCTATCCTAATCTAACCTAACCTAATATTTCCTATTATAATCAAACATACTTAATCTATCCTAATTTACCCTAACCTAACCTAACATAACATAACCTAACCTTACCTAACCCATTCTAACCTAACCTAACTTTACCTAACCTAACCTAACCTGGCCTAACCTGACCTGACCTGACCTGACCTGACCTGACCTGACCTGACCTAACCTGACCTGACCTGACCTGACCTGACCTGACCTGACCTGACCTAACCTAACCTGACCTGACCTGACCTGACCTGACCTGACCTGACCTGACCTGATCTAACCTAACGTAACCACGTCAGTAATTCATGTTCTTAATATTATATAAAAATATTAATTTGGAACAGTACAACTCTTCCAACTTACGACTGAAGCTGTACTCTGGCAGATTACGGGACAAGCTGTACGCTGGCAACTTATGGGTGAAGCTGTACGCTGGCAACTTATGGGTGAAGTTGTACGCTGGCAACTTATGGGTGAACCTGTACTCTGGCAACTTACGGGTGAAGCTGTACTCTAGCAACTTACGGGTACAGCTGTACTCTGGCAACTTATGAGTGAACCTGTATTCTGGTAACTTATGGGTGAAGATGTACACTGCCAACTTACGGATGAAGCTGTACTCTGGCAACTTGCTGGTGAAGCTGTACACTGGCAACTTACGGATGAAGCTGTACTCTGGCAATTTATGGGTGAAGCTGCACTCTGGTAACTTATGGGTGAAGATGTACACTGCCAACTTGCGGGTAAAGCTGTACTCTGGCAACTTGCGGGTAAAGCTGTACTCTGTAAACTTAAGGTCTGAAGCTGTACTCTGTAAACTTAAGGTCTGAAGCTATGGATGGGGAGTAGGTAAGGGAAGGGTATTTTTTTTTATTATTATTATTTTCTACCACAGACGTGGCCACACATTTACAATGCTAACCAGCTTATATACATTTTCTTCTGTCCTCCATGGACAGGGTGAAAGATTTATCAAACATAGAGTTCAGAGATTTATTGAACCCTAAAAGGGAAGGGTAGTTAGGAAAGGGAGGAGGGATGGACGGTTAGGGACAGGGGAGAGATGAGGAAGGGAAGTGAGGGGAGGGGGAGGGGGAAGGGAGGGAGGGGGCGGTGGAAGGGGTGGCGGCCACTTGGAAGGGTTACCTAGACACCTCCTCTCCAAGCTCTCGGAAATTCAGATCGATTCCCAGTGCTACCGTTGCTTGCTACTGCTCCTGTTTACTGCCACTCCTCCTGTTACTGCTCCTCTTCCTGTTACTGCTGCTCCTCCCGTTACTTCTCCTCCTCCTGTTACTGCTGCTCCTCCTGTTACTGCTCCTCCTCCTGTTACTGCTGCTCTTCCTGTTACCGATCCTCCTCCTGTTACTGCTCCTCCTGTTACTGCCCCTCCTCCTGTTACTGCTGCTCTTCCTGTTACTGATCCTCCTCTTGTTTCTGCTCCTCCTTCTGTTACTGCTTCTTCTGTTACTGCCCCTCCTCATGTTTCTGCTCCTCCTCCTGTTACTGCTGCTCCTGCTGTTACTCCTCCTCCTGTTACTGCTGCTCCTGCTGTTACTCCTCCTCCGGTTACTGCTGCTCCTCCTGGTACTGCTGCTCCTCCTGGTACTGCTGCTCCTCCTGGCACTGCTGCTCCTCCTGGTACTGCTGCTCCTCCTGTTACTGCTGCTCCTCCTGGTACTGCTGCTCCTCCTGGCACTGCTGCTCCTCCTGTTACTGCTGCTCCTCCTGTTACTGCTGCTCCTCCTGGTACTGCTGCTCCTCCTGGTACTGCTGCTCCTCCTGGTACTGCTGCTCCTCCTG